TTAACTCAAGTAAAAATAGAATTTTTCTTGTATATATTCATTAAGAAATATAAAATTACAACAGGAAGGTATGTATATATATATTAACTTTTGTGATATCGGCTATTTCAGTTAATTCATCACTATTAACTATACAAAGATAAATCAATTTGTAGGCAGTTAGTATAAATTGCAATAATATATAGCTGTTATTATTATATTATCTAATGATAATTCTTTGTTAATTTTCTTGTTTGTTAGTGATTCTGGTGTTAGTATTGTCCATGTAGTTTTTGGTATAGATGGTGTGGAAAATATTAGAGATGGTCTTTTACAAAATAGTGAAATTTGTGCAGGTTGAAAGTTGTTCTATACACCTATATGAGAAAGAGAACGGGTATGAATATATCTTGCGAATTCACTTGTTACAGGCCAGGTCCACTCAAACCATTTGGAAATACTAGGTATAGTATTAGGTTTTTTACTAGTATTAGTCTCTGGTTCCTGGCTAATTATCAATAATAGAGATTAGATTATAGATTAATTAAGAATATTAATAAAGAATTTTGGTTAGATAAAGCATATTTTTAATAATCAATTATTACAAAATTTTATTATTAACAAGAACTATGGTTATAGTGTTTGTGATATATTATAATTTTTTAAGTAGCAAGAATCTGTATAATTATCATATGCAAGTTTTTACTATTATCTATTATGTTATTCTTAATTGCAAAGATTTGTTATTTTATTTTAATAAAGAAATTACTTTAATAATTCTGAATCTGATTTTTTATCATTTTGATTATGATTTGGTTCTATGTGTGCTACAGATGTTCCACTTAGATTTTGAAGTACTTCTTAAATATTTGTCCTTTCGGTAAGATCACAACCAATTTTAATATATCTTTTAATCTTATGTGCAATCTAAAATTAACTTTGTTATTAGTAGGACATAATAAAAAGATATTTCACTAGCAAAATTAAAAGTCATTGAAATGGCATATTTTGAATGCTGTTTAAATTACTATTTGATATATTATTTCACTTTATTTATAATTTGGGTCTTATGCGATATATCGAGTAGAGCTTGAGTTTACAGATTCCTTGTTCAAATAATCGAATAATTTGGATCAGCAAATATTTATTCAAATATTCGTTGAATGACTAATATTATTCGAATAAGTACTATTTATTTAGATAATATATAGTTATTCAAATAAATTTACTTATTTGAATAAGATTTGTTTATTTGAATTATTTGTCAGATAACTATTTATTCGAATATTTGTCAAATACAAATATATTCGAATAACAAATATAAACATGAAGCTCTAATATTGAGTGATAATTTGAACTGTATTCAAAATATGCTTTTTTTTTTTTTTAATATGAATTTGACTAATATACTTGCAGTTGCATGATTAGAATTAACAGTAGTTTTAGCTTCTTCAGACTCAAGAAAAATCTATCTGCGTACTTCTATATTGTACCAACTATGCCAGTAACTAATAATTAATATTAATTCTGAGTTATGGTAATGTTCTCTATTATCTGAAATAATTTTAATCTAATGTGGCCTAGAATCTATTGTTATAAATACTGTTTCAAAGCATGATGCGGTGAACTATGTGTCTTGTTTAGTATCAGTACTCCAATAATCATACGCATGAATATCCAAATTATCACTATTGTTTTTGTCTTTTTAAAATACCAAGGTTGTATGAAGCATCCACACTCTTTTTTTAAAGAACTAGCTTTTTGTTTCTCTAGCTATTGCAAGTAAAATCCGCATCTTATAATAAACTATAATAATTGCGAGGTTTTTTCTTGGCAAATAACTTAAAAGCTGCAGATCGTTACTCTTCTGAAGACATACATATCGATCTTGA